ATATATATAAATGAATCACTACACTGTGTAGCAGAAATGAATGCAACATTGTAAGTCTACTGTACTTCAATTAAAAAAAAAGAGAGAGAAAAGGGTCCCAAGAAACAGCACGCCACTTGTGCAGACCATGAGTTTTTGTGCACCCTCTTGGCCGGAGCCAGCACCTGCAGGGTCTAAACAGGTAGTGTGCCGGGGTCCTAGAGACCACAGAACCTTGTTACATTCATGGTTCTGTGTTGATTTATTTATCATCTATTGATTTATTTATTTGGTCCAACTCTTGGGAGGAGGTCCTTTTCAACAGGGATGCTCTGAGTGGGCAGGGAGACCAGAGGACCTACCTCGGTGCCTGCTGAGAGCAGACCTGTGAGCCCCCTGGTTGAACGTTGGGGAAGATGACCTCCTTCTCTGTACCGATGGTGAAGGGGGCAGCGCCACCACGAAGGCGTGTTCTGTCCGGCTGCCTTGCACCTTGGAAAGTTCCAAGGTCAGCGTCAGTCCTTTGAGGATGTCCTCCTCTGCTTCTGCACAGACACAACGGTTTGAGTGTCCACAGTATCTCCAGGGCTTGGCTTTTCTCAGCACCTCCTAGGGGGTGTGTGTGTGTGTGTGTGACTCAGGACCTATCCAACGGGACTGTCTGAGACCAGGCAGATGACGTGTAAGGTTCCCAATTCCCTGTGATGACAAAGATTGGGGAGGAAATTAAGGAGAAAAAAAAAAAAGGGAAGAGATGGGGTTGAAATGTCCTTGTCATGCAATTGCCACGCGAGCTTTGGAGAGCTGTCAGGCAGCACGGCCAGATGCAGGCACGTCGGGGATCAGCGCAGAGGAGCTCAGGTTGGCAGAGGCCTCGCGTCTGGTGCGGTGGGGTAAGCCGGTCCCCTGGACCCTGGGGTCCTCGCAAGGGTCACGTCACTAGGGGACCGATTCCTGCTTCTGCTGCTGCTGGCAGCTGGCGCCCCAGGTCGGTGAGAACCTGGGCGGGGGGTGGGGATAAAAGCTGCTGGATAAAGGGCACCGAGGTCAGGAGGGCGACGGGGGACCGGTGACCGGACCGCGCGTAGGCGCTGTGTGTTCGGGCCCGAGTCCGCCGGCGGGCAGCGGGAGCTTGCGGAGCTCCCCGGGGCAAAGCCGCGCCTGTGTGCATTGGAACCTGGTTTGGATTTCCTCCAGCTCTGGTGGGTGTGTTCAGCAGCGACGTGCGGTGTCGGTGGGGACCGTGGCATTTTCCTTGCGCTGCCCCAGAGCTCGAAATGCAAGCTTCTCCCAGGGTGCCCGCGCCCCCGCCTCCCCCGCCAGGTGCGTCCTGGGTGCGCTGAAGCTGGCAGGCGTCTGAGAGATGGTCTCAGAGCCTTCATCCCCGCCGACATGGAGGGGAGGCTGCCATCTGTAAAAGCGGAAAGAAAACCCAGTCTGATGAAAACCAAAAGAAGAAGGGAAAGCAGTTACAAAACCCAAAAGAGACGGCGTGGCTGCGTTTTAGGGAAACGCTCGGAGTGGACAAGTTCATCAAGACAAGGCACACGGGGGTTCCGAGGGGCTGGGGGAGGGAGTGACTGATTACAATTGTACTCAGTGTGAATTTTGCCTCATTTTTTTTTTAAATGGAGGCAGAAAAATAAAATAAAACCAGATCTCCACATTGGAGCGGGTACCAGGAGCTGCCTCGTGCGGTGGGAGTGAGAGTTAATCCAGGGACCGGCGGCACAGGACGGGCACCCTGATAACTCCCAGGGGCTGGTTACTTCCTGCTGCGCCTGAATTCCCCCGGGGGATTTTCTCAGCCTCCTTGACCTAGAGCCGTAGGCTACAATGAGCCCATTATTTAAATCGGCAACTTCCGCGTGGATTTCTGTGTCCCTTTGTGGTACCTGAGAACTCAGTTTTTTTTTTTTCTTTCAAGTCAAGTTTGCAGAAGTTTCTTATTTTACTCCATCACAATGAGCAAGAAAAGGCAAAGTTGAGCTCAGAGGAAGCTGGATGGGGAACCATCCTGCGGAGTGTCTGTGAACCTGAGAGCGAACATGCCCACGGGCGCCAGCTGCACGCCCGCCCCCCGGGGCAGGTGCAGCGGGAGACTCTCAGGAGAAAAGTGGACCCAAGACGCTGAAGGGCGGAGGGACAGGTGGTGGAAAACGCAGCAGCTACAACCAGAGAGCGCGAGGACGCCTCAGAATGTGGCCCTCCCCGCCCCGCCCGCTGCCCGTCCCCCTCCTGACTAAGGGCCGCTCAGCTCAAACCACAAGGGCATTGCACAAAGTGCAGATGTGAAAATTAAGGCAGTGGCCCCGAGGGGACGGAGGAGCAGAGCGGACCAGCCCAAGGAAGGACCTCCCCCAGGGCCTCGGGGGGTGCAGGGTGGGGGCCCCTCGTCCCACACAGCGCAGAGCGTCGGGGACAAGACGCGGAGGAAGGCTGGGTGTGGCCGTGTCCAGCTCGCAGGTGGAGGAAGTTCGCTGCTTCTCCATTCCCCGGAGACATGCGATGCGAACCAGGTGGGGAGGTTGGACTCAGGTCTGGTCTCTGGCTTTTATTTCCTCCCTGGTAGCAAGTGAGTTTCCCTGGGGGGCCCGGGGGGCACTCAGGGAGGTTGGGAAAGGACGCCGGTTCACGGAAACAGTAGGGAATTCAATGAAGGAGGTGCAGGCGACTTCTTGGAAGAGACAGTGTGGGGTGTGAGGAGAGGGTGTCCTGGGGCTCGTGGAGGGTCAGCAGACTGGGACCGCAGTGACCTGGTCTCCGACAGGGGGTGGCCCAGGTGCTGACGTTCTGGGGGGTTGGAGGTACCAGGACAGCTGGGGTGAAGGGGAGGGTCTTTGCCAGGGGAGATGGCTCATGGGAGTTGACCTTGTAGACGTCACGTCACCCAGGGCGATCCAGGCGGAATTCCACAGAGAATGCAGGCCAGTGGTCAGCTGATGGTGGGTCCTGTAGGTGGGCAGGAGGCCTTGACAGAGGGCGAGGGAGCCCTCTTGGCGAGGCTGGAGCCGAAACGCACTGAAGTGGGACTGCATGATAGGGAGACACCGTGTCCTCGGGTGGGAGCAGAGCTTCAGCTGAGCCCAGCAGAAGAAGAGAGTCTCTGAAGACAGGAGGGGGATATGAGGATGAGGAGATGGAGGGGTAGGAGAGGTGGGCGTGATGGGCAAGACCTCCAAAACCGAGAAACAGGACAGGATGGGATAGGAAAGAAATGAAGGGATGGGTGGGTGGGTTGATGAGTGGATGGATGGGTGGGTGAGTAGATGGATGGCTGGCTGGCTGGATGGATGGATGGGTGGTTAGATGGATGGATGAATGGATGGATGGATGGATGGTGGATGGATGGG